TGTATTGTGATTGTTTCAGCCGTATATTTTGGTTTGATTTAGAAATAAACGAATTTGTTACTGCTTCATTTTGAAATGTGACAGTACCACATCATACTAATACTAAACGATTCACTTATTCGATGACTCAAATAGACACTAAAGTTAAGCATACATAGTTGTTAAGTTTAAAAAGATGTATGGGGACATCGGTATACTAACATAGATCTACCATCATTTTCTTTTGAGATTTTTTCAGTCATTAAAAATTAACCCATAGTATAAAAAACTCATAAAACTATTGTTTCGGGTATTTGTGTCACAACAAATCTCAAAACCTTAAACAATTTTTAAACAATGTTATAGAGTTTGTAATTGTTTTTAAATAAAATAAAATAATATAACAGCTACTCCCTTTTGTGTAGTAGCCAGCCATTCACAAATCACAATTACTAAACATGCAATAAGTAGCGTTAATGAAAGTAGCCTAATTCCCTTTAACGGATCTATCTTCCCTCAATGTTGTCTGGTGGCAAAAATGTCGTGCTAACCTCCGCCCAAAGCTTGCTCCTTTTGTGTTTTTCCTTTTTCTTGCATCCAAACATTAAATTTCGACCGTTATAGTATTCCCTAATACTTAAACCCCTCTCTCTCTCCTCTTCACATTCTAGCAGAGCAGCCATGGCCGTAGCCCACTGGAAGAAAGCCATGAAGATCCTCTCCCTCTTCCACCGCAGCTTCAACTCCTCCAAATGGTTCTTTCGTACTTCTTTTCCTCTCAATCGAAAAATTGATTTTCTTTACCCTTTTCCCCCAAAATTACTCTCAACAATTTCTGGATAAAACCATGAACCTTCTTTCTAATTGTGAAATTTGTGTATATAAATTGAAATCCAGCAAGACAATGGCTAGGATGACGACGGCAAGGATAAAGCTGCTGAGGAACAAGAGGGAAGTGGTGGTGAGGCAGATGAGGAGAGACATTGCCATGCTTCTCGAGTCCCGTCAGGATGCCACTGCTCGAATCAGGGTACTTTTCTTTTTTCTCCCTGGATTAAAAAAGTTGCATGCTTTATAGTTTGTGTTTTGTTGAATTATAGGATTGAAACTAGTTTTGCTAAACTTATTCCCTAATTCCATTTCTTTCAATTATTGGTAACCCTTGCTGCTTCGTAGTTAGCAATAGTAGAGGTAGATGTATGTATAATTACCGATTTTATTGGATGGTTTTTTTTAGGTGAGAGCTTTGGAGGCTAAATCTGTATTGGAGGCTAAATCTGTATTGAGATTTTTTACAAATTGAATGTATAATATAGTAGGTGATCGATCATGTAACATTATACGGAGTATTCATTTTTGGAAACATTCTATCAGTGAAGGCTTAGGCCAAGACTTTCCAAGTCTTCGCCTACTGAACCCTCCATCCAAACAAGTCATAATGAGCAGTTCGTGCATGAAATGTAACATCACCTCAGTTAAATACTTAAATATGCTTATATTCTTGAAGGTAATGTGAGATTAATATATGGGTATGTAAGATTACTTGGTTGTGTTTGGTTGAGATTGTGAGGGTGTAATATTTATATGCCCCAAATCTAATAAAGCAATACCTTATTCAAAGGAAAAAGGAAATATTAAAAAGTAAGCTCACAATGCCTAAGAAACTGTATTTCCCCAACATTACTCTATTTCCCTGTGTGGCATTAATTTGATACTACCTTGGTGGCCTATGGGTTCTGATATTCTTGATGCATTTCAGTGCACCAATGTGTTTTTAGTGGAAACCATCATGATAATTGTTAAACTGTAATTATAGATGCTATTTCCAACTCATGCACCTTTTTTATAGTTATTATGATGGTGTTGTAGGTTGAACATGTAATTAGAGAACAGAATATGTTGGCAGCAAATGAAATAATTGAGCTCTTCTGTGAACTTATTGTGTCGAGGCTTCCTATAATTGCAAAACAAAGGTGCCCCCTTTCCTTCATTAACATACAAACTCTTCGGTACATAGAAGTTTAATTTTGTGCCATCTAATTGTGTAGTAACTTTTAATGTGGAATCCACATTATTCCAGAGAATGTCCTGCTGATCTGAAAGAGGGAATATCAAGTTTGATATTTGCAGCCCCCCGGTGCTCTGAGATTCCTGAACTTCAGGAAATCCGCAATATATTTGAGAAAAAATACGGGAAGGATTTTGTTTCTGAAGCTGTTGATCTAAGACCGAATGCTGGTGTGAATCGGATGGTACACATTTATGTCTGTACTCATGTCACATTCAACAAATATTGGTTACACTCCATCCAGTCCTTTTCAAATGACACTCTATCCAAAATGGCATATTTCGGATGTTCTAATGTTTTTCTTACGAACTCAAGAAAATCAAATTTTTTCCTTGGGTTAGGTAGTTTCTTCGATTGTTCCTTATAATAGAGTCCAAATGGAGTAGCTTTGGGAGTAAGTTAATTTGGATACTATGAAGCATGGAAACTAGTATGCCTTCGTTTCTAAAGCTCTGCATAAACTCTATGGACACTAAAGTTTTTTTCCCCTATTAAAAGAGGGTTTTTCCCGTTTCTTGTTTCCCCGTGACTCACGTTTTCATGCAAAACCAGAGTGATCTTTTATGACCTTACTTGGTGTTCTTCTTTATTTGATTGACTGTATTCTTTTTCAATATCCAAATAGAAAATGTTTTGAAGAATAAAACCATGATGGTGATACATGAAGAAGAATGTTATGTTTTTGTAATATTTAGGACAATAACTCCAAACTTCGTATCCATTTTCCCACTACAGCTCATTGAGAAGCTCTCTGTAAAAACCCCAAGTGGTGAGGTGAAAATGAAAATCATGAAGGAAATTGCAAAAGAATACCAAGTAGAATGGGACACCACAGAGTCTGAGGTTGAGCTACTCAAAGCACCAGAAGAGCGTATAGTACGTTTCTTTTTATCTCCTATTTTCTTGATAGTTATTACATTTATTTGGCAATCCTTCCTCCATTAAGCTGTGTGAACTCTATTCCTTCAGGGAGGGCCACAAACTTTTGTGAGTGCCACTAGCTTCCCTATTAAACAACCAGTTCTGGAGCCGTATGTTGTCCATCCTCCCAACAACAACCACACAACTGTGTAAGTTATTGGACCTTCATTAATCTTGTAGTTTTTTTTGAACTTTTGAGTTTCTTTCATCAACATTACGTATTAAGCCCATGTAAGTCTGACACGGACAAGGAGTGGCTCCTGACAAAACTTTTAAGAAGGGGGGCTTGAATGAACTGATTTGTGCCCCTGAGGCTGCATGCATAGCAAAGAGATTTCAAGGTTGTGTGATTTGAGACTTAACAATTGAGATTAGCTTGAAGGGTTTGATAGGACTTATTCGTATCAACAGGATGTTTATATTTTGAAACTTATTCCATAATTGCTTCAAAGTTAAGCATGCTTAACTTGGAGTCGCATAAGAATAGGTGAGCCCTCAGAAGCTTAATTAGTGAGCATGTGAGCCCTTCAAGGCATGCTGAGGACCAAAGTGTTGGTGTATGTAGACGCGCGTCAAATTTGGTGTCAGAAGATGGTATCAGATTGTGGCTATATTTGGATCACACAATCATAAGAAAAGTAAAGAAAATTCTAAGAAAAAATTTCTCTCTTGTGCTTGAGCTTTTCTAAAAATAGAAACATAAATGAAATATAATTAGAAATTATAGTTTTTGTATATGTCTAGATTGCTCAGTATAATACGGAGTATGAATCAATGAATTAAAACTAAATGCAATCAATTAATGGAGTACTAAACAGTCTAAAAGTAAATTTATTGAGTTTGAATTGTTGTTTTAGTTTCCAGTTTTTGTTTACTTCCAAATTTCTCCATATATTCTTTCGCTGGAACTTTTCATGTTTCAAACGGATATTACATTTTGTTGGAAACAGAATCACAAGTAATGGTGGAGCGAAATATGAAGACCCTGAATCGGCAGCTAAAGCGGCAGCTGAATGTGCCAGGCAAGCTATAGCTGCAGCTGAAGCAGCGGCATACCTTACCAACGAAAAGCGAAGAGCATCTGGAGATTTTCAGCATCATGCAGACAGAGACATTCATGCTGAAAAAGTAATACTTCGGAGGCATAGCTGCAATTTTCCTAGCTGCAACTCAGATAAATCCGTCAAGTATGATGAATCTGACTATGATGAAGAGATTGAGATGGATGCTCATGATGATGATGACACTTGTAGTAATTATGAATCGAGACAAATCGGTAGGAGGCAAAGCTGCAACCCTTGTAGAAAAGACGACTTGGGGCAATCAGCATTACCTCGGGTCCATCCGAAATTGCCTGACTATGAAACACTCGCTGCTCGTTTTGAATCTCTGAAGTACCAAAAGAATTGAAATGGTTGATTCTTTGCAGATCATAGCAATACGTCTAAATGGAATATGTTTCTATGCTCAGTTTCTCCTGTTATTTTCTTCTGTTAGTTCTGTATACTGATGGACTTTGTATTTTCTTGCATTTATTTAGTAGTATTATTCAAAGTGGGAAGTCATTTAGGCAGTACATCAGATTGTTTGAGAAAATATCAATAATGAATGGAAAGGTATTTTTTTTCAAATGTGGCATTAGAAAAGATCTGTTTTTTTCCTACATCAGATTGAGAAAATATCAATAATGAATGTAATGATATTATTACATGCTCCTTGGCCCCCAAATAGATTTTCACTTTTACCTTAAAATCGGGGAATCCAATTTTGCATGAGGGAGACAAGAGTATGATTCTCGGGAAAGTGATAGTACGTCTTGCAAGAACGGAGTTGGAGAATAATACCAGAATTAGTAAAATTTCTCCAAACTTATTTCGGAATTTCACTCGTTCATTCACTTTAGGTAAAAATTTGGAAAGTTGTATTAACAATTTCCGAAAGAGCAACAAATTATCTGTAAACTAAGACAAAAATATTGGGGTTAATTAGTAAACCAAAAACTATCATCTTCACTAATAACCTGAACCGGAATCAAACAAGCCCTCAATAATGAGTACAAATGTACAATATGTCACCACATTAATTTGCAATGTGGGAAAAACTGAATCATGGGATACTGCAAGTCTGTAATCAATAATTTAGTTCAGCTAACAATGTTGTCTAGACTATAGATATGTCGTTTTAACCTTGTATCCTTATAGCAAAGTAACATTTGTCCAAACTTGTATCGTACGCTGCACTAAACTGTCCACTTTTCACCCGTAAACATTTTAATAATTAATTGAATTAGATGGTTGACAAACAAACACTAGTGTACATATACAACAGTCACACCATCAACGGTGAAAACTTCCAAACTGCCAAAAGCAACCGCAACTAACCATTTGCCAGATGCCAATGCTCAGCAGTTTCCTCGACTCCGGTCTTCAAATGCACAATAGATGCATGTCATGTCCTTCAAATGCTATATCTCTAACGGGCGGGCAGATGGGCCAAGTCATTAACAGCAACACCGGCAAGACATGACATCTGAGCAAGTATACGGCTTTGACTTCTCTTCTATTTCCATTGCCGTTGGCAGAGGTTCCATTCTGTACATCTCCCTGCTGCGGTCACAACAGAAGAAGAACACATTTCTACAAACCCCTCTACTAAAGGGAAACACTCTCTCAGGTATCCCCCTGCATAATGTACGATGTAAATCTGTCTTAGTTATTGCCTATTTCAAATGTGTGATCAACACAAGGAAAAGATTAGGACAAACCTCAAGTATGGTATCCTTCGCCGTCGAACAAGCTCATATGTTGTCTGGTTTGTTAAAACAAGGTAGCTGTTTCAAGAAACAAATGTGGGTTTTAATGAGTTATTCTGATCTAGCATTGAAATCCGCATTTGAGTGAAAAGTTGATGCTAAACTATAAGAGGGGGAGAAATAGACAGACAACAGATGAATAAAGATGTTTTCTTTTGGACGGAAATTTGCTGGTCTGGTTTGATCTGGGACTGAAAATGGTCCTAAAGAAAACATCCCAAGGCTTAGCTTTTATTTTGCTTAAAGGAGGAGCATGCAAAAATCTTTCCTTTAGAAAAAATTACTCCGTATAAATATTTGATTTTGATATATTTTATCAAGTATAACAAATATGACGTAGGCAAAGTTGATTTAGAGAAGGGAAAGAAGAAATTAAGGAAAAAAATATCTCCTCCGATATACCCCAGTCCAGGGTAATAGAATTGAGGAGTTTGGAGGATCTACAGCTTCTCTGTTTCCTCCCCTTCTCTCAAATGTGAAAATCCTTCAGACCAAACAAGTGCTTAGTGAAAGGATTATGCTAGTTGATAACAAAAGCACTGCACCAAAGAGGTTTTAACTTTGAACGAAGAAAAAGACTATTGAAAGGGCATATGAACTCTATATGAGTTCAGTAAATTGACAAACTAAAATGGTGATTAAAAATCTTAAATGGTGAACTTATACTAAAATGACACCTGAACTTTCAAATATCAAAAGATTTCTGAAAAAACATGAAATTCTTGTTTCGCTATTAAACAGTTCACTCTCTACAGTAGGTAAAATATATTAACTCCCTAAGGTAACATTTTAATATTCCTATCTCAAAGACTCATAATTCATACGTGTGCACCCCAAATAAAAACATAATTCATAGAATATGGACTTAAACTCGAATAACGTAGAAAGTCCACAAATTCAGTACCCAGTAACATTTTGATTTGATGCAAGACATTTCAAAAGCGAAATAGCATAATTGAATCATAAAATAAATACCTATGAAAAAGTAGTAGGAGAAGCAAGAATATAAAGAAGATTGACAAGAAAGCTAGCAATAGAATCACAATTGCATACGTCCACCTGGAAAAGGCAACATAACATTAGTTTTAGGTTAGTCAGCATTATAAAGCATATGTTCTTACTCCATGGCTTTTAACAATTTAAAAAGTTGGCTGGATACATTTTTTGTAACTGTGCAATGCAATTGCACCATGAGGTGTGCCTCAGCTATGTTTGGGCCTGAGGCATACATAATATGGTGTACACAATGAGGCGCATAGAGGCGTACACAATTTTGGACCAGGGCTAAAGTGCAATATTTGGAGCCACTTAACAAAAAAGGGCCCAATATTAATCTTGACATGCACACCTCTCTTCTTAATCTGTGTATCGAATGAGCTATATGATTCATACTTAAACCCCCATCTTTTCTTTAACTTTTTTCAATCTGCACTTTATCTTGTAAAAATAACCTCCTGCACTTGATTCCTATTTAGAATCACTAGATAGTGATGATTCGATTTTTTTATTCATCAATCTAATAAACTTGAATTTTAATATGCTAAGAATTTTGTTTTGATGAACGTATGAGACATTAATGCTATTATATACTCCCTCCATCCCACTATAATTGTCTCGTTTTTCCTTTTTCATCCATTCATTTCATTTCATTTTCATTTACCCCAGTGCCACAAAGGCTCCCACTCTCCTTTGTCCCAACTCCCAACCTTAGAGGGACGGAGGCAGTACTACGTAGTTTAAGCGTATTACTTTCCTAGAATGATGACCTCATTTTTTGTTGTTGTAATATGCCATTTGCTGACTTTTAATGAAGATGTTATTTTATTTTATGTCTTATCGTATGTGTGTGTGTGTGTGTTTTACGTCTCAATACATAATGAGGCGTACACAATATGAAAGCTAAAATATCACCTCATATTGTACTAATCTCCCAAAATTTCCCCTATTAACACTACACACATTAAACACTTAAGTATTTTGAAAAATAAGATGCACTTCATGTTCAAAATGTTGAACTTTTATATGGGTGAAATACTGAGAGGTTTAGAACTATAGAAAATATTAACCCCCAAAGATGGTGTGCTTGCTTGTTTTTACATTTTTCTCCATCTTTTTCCTCCCAGCAACAATGAATACAAAGAAAAACACGTAAAAATGTAAAAATGTAACTTGAAGAGAGAAAGCACATACCATGCCTTTGATATACTAGATTTAAGGAACTGAATATATAAAATGCCAGTCCAGACGCACAAACTCGTCTCCTCAAATATGTACCACCTGAAATGATCAATTAATCATTTTAGCAAAACAAATATAATAGTGTGCAACTGAGCAAATAATAAATCACATTTGGAAACTTTTACGCACATATATATTCATCTAACATTTTGAATCTTTAGAGAAAAATTACATAATGGGATAGTGGAGTTAGTGACTATCAACATAGTTGACAAATTATTGCATTGCTACAAGAATGCATGCTCACCAAAAACGGCAATGGTTTCCCTTCCCAATACATGTCCCAAGCCACGCACAATGATGATCGAACTCAAGAACACATTTGTCACAATCATGACAGTGTTTAGCTCGAGGAGGCTGCAGAGAAATTTTCAAGAAGAAAGAAAATCCCAATCATGAAACTATAGATAAAATGCTATGTATTTATACGTTATTAAATTAGTCAACTACATTTCAACATATGTTGACTTTTGTGTTACAACGTGCATTTAAACTTAAAAAGCATATTATGTTCACAATGCCATCAAACCCTGAATATTGATTTCTCTTTTAGAATGTGCATCTAAACTTAAGAATCACTAAACTGAACAGTGAATACTATAAGATTTCATTCCATATGCCAGCTCCAGGCATGCAAGGAAGATAATTAGAAGAGATTCTACCTGCAAAGTGTGACAGTAGGTACAAGTCCAAGTTCTGCAAACAAAAAAAATATCAAAGTCAGTTCATGCATCCACTCCTAATGTATGGACTCATGGGCTGTGAGTCTGTGACTAGCCACAGAGAATTTAGAACATGCATTATGTAGCTCTTCAACTATAGACATTACCCACCTTAAAGATGATCCGTGGGGATACAGATCCATGACTAGCTTTGTCCAAGGTGTTGCATTACCGCCTAGGAGATGTTTTTCTAACTGCTTCCTATCAATTGTAATAACTACACTGCCATTTTTGCTTGAAGCAGGTTGTCTTTGCTTGAACATGTAACATGACCATGATCAGAAGAATGACAAAAGTAAGATGTTTAGATGGTCAAAGAAAACTGTGCTTTAAGCATCTATCATACATATCAGCAGAAGAATGACAACGATTTGATTATTTGACAGTGGAGATAATGCTCTCACATACCTACATCTTGTATTTACATAGGGTAAAACAATTTCCTTTGCTTATAAAAGAATCGCCCCCCACCCCATAAATTTTAAAAATGTTATTTCAAAGTGATCTTACTTTGAGATCCCTGATGTGCTATCACACAAGGCACCTGCCTCATCAACCGCCCTCATTGCGTCAATAACATACCTAGATTTCCAACAATAAAAGCAAATAATAAGCCCCTGAATCAAAATCGTATGGTACCTAAAGAAAAGAGTACAATAATACAAAAGTCTAAAATTACCCGGGAGATGAAGAAGAAGTGATGAAATATTGAACCACAGTGGCAATGAGCAACAGCATGTATAATGCAATGTACCTGGAAGGAGAAAGTAACATGGCCCGTTTCTAATTTTATACGGAGTAATACAAAAGTTAAAAGATGTATATAAAATGTTACACGCGAAACAGTGATGAAGATATGAGACAGTTGGGTAAAACAACCATTACTCCATTAGCCTCCCATATCAACCATTACCAGTTAGAATAGTTAAAGCATCCGCTAGAAGAGTTAAACCAACTACGCAGTAGCGAAAAGCAAATCCAACAACTTAATATTGCTTTTGTCATTAGAAATTACACATCCCATTTCAAATTTTGAGCTACTTTTAGAGATAAATTCATTATCATCAATTAACAAGTTCATAGCTTTTAATGTATCGTTATGGTAACACTATCTTGATTTTGACAAACAACTAAGCTCAAACTAGCCAAACAATTATTAATACTTTTCACAAATACCAGCGCAAAAGATATGAACAATTACCAGGGTTCTACTCGGGTTGTCTCAAGTAACTCTCTATTGAACACCAATATAAAGCCCACGTATACCACGTGCAGCACCACCAGAATTAACTGCAAGCAGAATGTTGATCTCCGAGCTGAAAAGTTTCAAAAAAACAATTCAATCAATCCAGTAACACACCTCCACGCGTAATACAAAGATAAACGAGATTGAATGACGAAGAACGAGCTGTACATACCAGGATCAGATAAGCAGGGCACGAAGCGAGTACAGCGGTCGGAGAAGCGGTCCCACGTGTCGCGGAAGAAGTTATTGCAGCATGCCCCCATTGTTATTGATCGTCCACTCACTCGAAGCGGCAGGCGACTCTCAGAGCCCCATCTCAGTTTTCGATTTAATAGAGGCTTGGATGTTGCAGGAGATGAATGAGCAGAGAGGATATATTGAACAAAATAGAGGGAAAACAATGGAGAGGGAGGGTAATTCAATTGGAGCTTGATTCCTCTTCACGCCTCCTTGCCAGATCCGGAAGAACTAGGCTGTGGTCTGAGTCAACTCGTCCCTGCCGCCCGTGTTTCATGCCGTTTGATAATTGGACAAGAGTGGGTAAGAACCAAAGGTAACCCAGTTCTATAAGCTGTGTTATTCGTTTAGAAAAAAATGGACTGTTTTCTTTTGTTGCGTCATAGTCTTCTCCGCCATTTCAGATTAAAATTTGCAGTTTTCATGTCCTTTTATTTAGGGTTCTAATTATTATTATGAGGAACAAGACAACGTGTATTTTTTTTATGTTACGGATTTATTGTGTATATTTCTTAGCCTGCATATATGTTTATGTTTATGGATCATGAAGAGATGTTTTACTTTTTATACATGTCCCGTTAAAATTGATCAAATTTGATTTGCATGTGAAATTAAAAGTAAGGGAGTAATAATCAATATATATATATAAAAGAGGAACTTTTTAAGAGCATACAAAGCGCCACGTAATCCTGCCATGTCATTATATAAAACAATTATTTACTTATTTTTATACCTTTTGTTTTTATTAGATTCTATTTTTGATTGCATATTGATATGGAAACAAAAATCCTTAGAAATCCACCTTAATTAATTTTGTAAGCTTCAAATAAGTAAAATAATTTTTGGTTATCAAAGTGAAATTCTAATAACGTTTATTGATATGGAAACTAATTTATATTAGTTTACTAAAACGAATTAAATAGAAACAAATATGCAAATTAGTTTACTTAATAATTTGACACCTATTAATAAATTTGGAATTTTATCATTTCAGAACCTGAAAGATAGACGAATTATTAACCCGGGACCTGAAAGATGAAATGTATCAGTGTACGACCCGAATGATGAAAAACTATCAATCTAGGACTCAAATGATTATAAATTATCAATTTAGGACCTACGTTTTCATAAATTTTATTACTTTTTTATTTTTTAAAAAATTAAATAATATTTAATTTTATTAAACTAATAAACTTTTGTGAAGAAAGATTCATTAAATATTAGCCATGAAATTAATAAAAAATTAAATAAATCAAACCCTATGAAATGTTAGGTCCTAGATTGATAGTTTTTCATCATTCGGGTCCTATACCAATACGTTTCATCTTTCAGGCCCTGAATTGATAATTGTTCTATCTTTCAGGTCCCGAATTGATAAAATTTTGATTAGTAAGCTTCAATAAGTAAATAATTCAAAATGAAATTAAAAATTATAACCAACATAAAGTATATATATATTTTCACAAGTAAATACGTTTAGCCTAGCCAAATAAGTAAATTTTTTGGGTTGTTTCTTTATTTTACACCTAAAATTTAAATATGCCTTCACTTTTGAAATAGATTCCTAATCCAAATTAGAAAATCTTTATAGGTTTACAAATTCCTACTTTTATTTTAATAGAATGTTTTTAATTTGATTGATTTCAGTTCCAGATTAAATAAGATAAGATCAAACTTTAATAATTATAACAATAATTCACATAAAAACAGACATCTAATAGATCATATCAATTCATACCAAATCAACCCCGAAATTTTAATTCAATTAAAAACGTTCTTATCAATGAGTAAATTGTAAGATCTAACAATTAAGAAATGTAGAATTTTTTTTATTATTGGATTCATAACAATTATGTTTACTTGAGTTGCTTATGTACAAGACCAATTTAACTTTTTTTTTCATATATTTTTTTCTTTGTTTCACAAATGGAATATATTTCACATATATTTTTCATGATTCAGGAGATTCCACCTATTTAACCAGAAATCAATTAATTTCAGCAAAATAAGTTAATTCTATTTACTTTAGTATTATCAAACAGACTCTATATTATACTAAGTTTATTTTTCTTTTAAATCACATTATATTTGATCCGATAGAAATTAAATTTCAAATTAGCTAAATTACATACTGCCCATGCATCGCACGGGCTTGAAAGCTAGTTCTGATTATATAGATGAAAGGGAAATAATTTCAATAACATACTTATATTAGTTTAAACGGAAATGATAATATTTATTAAGATAGTTAAATAAGAAAAGTTGATAAAATTTTGCGAGATTTAAGAAATACGAAGTAAAAAATATGTCAATTTTTTCACTATCGGGTGTTTCATATTACAATGTCATTAAAAACAATATCTGTTAGAATAAAAACTATTACTCCCTCTGTTCCGCTATTAACTTCTTACTTTGACCTACACACATATTTAGGAAAAAAAATTGACTTTACTGTTTAGACACTGTTTGGCATTGTTTTGCATTGTTTGACACTGTTTTGATGCAGGATAACTTTCCATTTAGGGAAATGAGAAGATGATTTTGGGACGGCCCAAAAAGGAAAGCAGGAAGTTAATAGCGGGACGGAGGGAGTATGTTGTTGCAAGAATTTGTTTGAAACTGAGTTCTGGGTGCAAGTGCACAATGTTCCGTATAGCTTTATGAATATAGGTACTGCTTGAAGAGTAGGAAACTATATTGGGGAGTTTATTAGGTTTGATGAGAGCCGCTTTAAGGAAAAATGGGAGTTTTATTTAAGAATTAGAATGAAATTGGATGTGAGGAAGCCTATAAAGAAGGGTTCCTCACAAAGGGTTTGAAAAAAAGAAGATTGGTGAAGGCTACGCCGAAATACTAATGTTGTAAACTAATCATGAATGCTTTTGGATATGCTTTTGATATGAGTATTGTTATGAGTGTGTTTTGGGGAATGACTATTGCTGTTGTTAGTTTTGTAAACTCATCATGAGTGTTTTTGGATATGCTTTTGTTATGGCTACTATGAGAGTGTGTTTTGACGAATGACTACTTCTATTGTTGTCGCTATTCATTTATTATGACTATTGATTTTGTAATCTCATAATGAGAGCTTTTAGAAAGTTAATCATTCTACATTAATGCATTACTTTGTTAAGAATGTTTTTCCCGCTCAAGTATCGATACACTCTCAACCGCAAGATTTATTTCGATCAAATCGACGACTCAAGATTTGTTAAACTTTTTCCAGGATGACACTCTCTTTTTCTGCTTCATCGGCATTTTACTTCGTTCAAAAAACTCCATTTTCATATATGACTACTTCTCACATCAATACTTCGTTTGGCCTCTTTTACCTTCAACTTTTGGAGTTCAGAACCCACAACCTGGATTTCATTCTTTGAGGTCGGAGTTCAGTTCATTACCCGATTTCCCTCTTAGTGAATCCAGCCAAGTGCGTAACATGTTAAACTTACTAGGTATTTTGATCCCATATCCATTTCCACTATTTCACTCATCTCTTTCATATTTAAAACGCTGAGGTTGATGTCACATTTGGGGGGGGGGGGGGGTCAGCCAATACACCGTGGCTCCACGACAATGGAAATCTTATCTTGGTTTCTATCAATTAATCAAATTTTATATAGAGCTTTAGATCATTTAATTTGCAACTACGACCTTGCGTGGAAATAAGGAATTAACCTTGTAGATTGAAAGTTTTGCTTTGAATAAAAAGGTCTTGATATACTTGACTGTGGTATTATTTAATTTTTATTTAACAAGTACTTAATAATCCCACATTTGCATCCCATCTTCTTTCATTGGACCCTGACCATGTTTTTTACTCTTTTATTGAAAGTCATATAAATAATCTCACCTTTCACTTTTCTATTATATCTTTATAAATGTGAGATTATTTATATAAGATTTTCAAAGAAGGTTAAAAACTTGGTCAGAGTGCAATGAAAGAAGATGAGGTACGAAGGTGAGATTATTTTGAGATTATGTAAAGGTAGGATTATTATATAAAAACCGATGAAAGGTGAGATTATTCTTGTCAATTTTTCCTTAACAAATTAAACATAACACAAACATTATTTCTCTAACACAAGAAAACCTAAGACTATCGATGATATTAAGATTAATTAGAATTAATGCTTAACAATTAACATATAAATTTCATATTTTAAGTAGTTCGGTTTGTTCAGTTCAGTTCGGTTTTGAAGGGTAAAAACCAAAACCGAACCAAACTACTTCGGTTTGGTTCGGCTTTTACCTTCAGTTTCTTAGCGGTTCGATTGTATTTGACTGCGGTTCAGTTTAATTTGATTTGATTTTCGGTTTTTCGGACTCAGTCCTAATTTCATCTTACGTTTTGTCTACAAAAATAGACTAAAGAATTTAAAATTTAAAAAGAACCATCAGAATCTATTTTATGTTTTAAAATTTAAGTTTTGTTTTCAATCCTAAATCAGATTGAACGTAAAAGACCAGAGTTTTTTTCCTAATTAATGCTAAGAAAAGAATTATTTACCAAATTAATGTTGAGTTAGAAATATTTACCAAAGTACTGCCCAATTAAACTATGGTTAAGAGTGGAACGAATTGGAAGTGGAACGTAGGAATTACGCAGGAGAGATGGATTAGTGGGCCAAGTCAAAAAACAATTCTCCTTTTCTTCAACCTGTAATAAATTTTATATTTTTGCTCCAAAGTTTATAAAAAATATATCAATTTTCATAACTTTTTATGATCTTTCATATGACACCAATATCATATACAAAATTTGAAAAAAAAAGAAAACTGAAATAAATGGACAAGTTGTAACAAAGCCCGTTCAATCAATCTAATTCTAAACCAATATTTTTTACAAAAATCTCAATGTATGGTTGATAGGGTTGTAAACGAATCGAATAATTTTGATTCAATTCGTGATTCGAATTCGAAAATGCCGATTCGAATTCGAGTAAGTAGAATACGAATACGAATACAAATCTATTTTTTTATTCGAATACTTTACGAATACGAATACAAATACTATGATATTCGATTCGAATAATATTCAAATAAATTCGAATTATATATATATATATATATATATATATATATATATATATATATATATATATTCATACAATATATACTACTTCTTATGAATACATATAGTTTAATGTAAAAATATTAATAAAAAAATATTCATGTAAATATTTTGCATATTTTAATTTAAACATTCTTAATTTACCAGGTCAAAATAGCTTAATTTACAATTAAAATTCTCCGTTGATTTATCTATATTGATATTAAATTTGAAGTGACTTCTATAAATGAATTTTGTTTCCTATAAAATATGTAATATGAAAATGAGTTAAAAGGGGCAAACTAACATCATAATTTTAATTATTTTCACAAATTAACTTTAATGTTTTTTTGAATTCGAATATTCGAATTCGATTCGAAAAAGATTCGAATATATCAAACG